ATGTAACCTGTAAAGAGGGCAGGGTACCTGTCTGTGCATATATATGTGCGAGTGTGCATGGGTGGAGATGTGTACTTTAATGAGCAAGTGTTTAAACACAGAGAGTTGCTATGTGTTTCTTGAAATGCTGTATGTTTTCTATTGTCTGAGAGACAACTGTCAATTAGTGTCAAGAGCGTCCCTCCGCTTCCTCTCTGTGACTCAGCGACCATGATGTGATAGAATTGCAGAGATGGCGCCGGGCTGGAAGCCAGGAACGTCTGTTCCCGCCTCTTCCCACCATGAGCTCTGTGGTCGTGGATAGGTCCCCTTACCTCTAGGAACCTCACCTTTCACTTCTAATGAAATAAAACAAGGGATTTTAACTAGATGATCTGTATGATGTTCATTCAGCTCTGAAATCTTTAGGTTCTTGAGTCAATAGAAACGTACCCTACAGTCACTAATAATTATGAAGACATATAAGATTCCAGCATCACCCTCTGCCTAAAATTCTTCTGGAGGAAATAAGTACAGTCATGTCCAGATATAACTACACCAAGTGACTTCTTACTGGGGGGAGACTTAGAACACGGGAAATGACTGGGTGAACCTACCGTTACAAGGAGAAGCAGATTGGAGTTCTGCACTATTTTACCCTGTTGGTTACTGACTCTCAGAAGAATAAGCTGTCCAGTGTTTGATGGTATGGTGGTGAGGACTAACACCTGAAATTCTTAGGGAAGGAGAGGGTTTACAAAATTCAGAAATTGATTACAACTAAATGGGTTGAGGAGGCCTGAATTCTCATCCCAGCTCAGCTGGTAAGACCCAGTCTCCCTGTGTCTGACCCTAGTTATGGCTAAGGTGAGGCCGTCCAAACCCTGGCCCTGGTCCCCTCCATCTGTTGACTCAAGAACCCTGGCACTGACCTACCTGCCCAAGGTTTCTTGGTCTGGGATGTTCCCCTCAGGTTCTATCATGTGCCCCAATCCCAGGTACTCCAACCTGCCTCTTGGGACTGTGGCAGATGCCCCTCCCTGACCTTGTGGGTTCTCCTCTCCCTCCACTAGATTCTGGCATCTCTTACAGCCAACCACAAGCTCCGGCTGCCATCTCCCCACTGCAGACCCTCCCTACCTGTGAGGCCCCTGGTCTAGTCACCTGCCCTACCTGCCACAGTAAGATGCACGGAAAGGTTCTTTGTCCCTCAGCGTCACCAGCAGTGCTAAGCAATGTCAAGAAGGGTGAGTAGGTTCGAACCTTACACCAAGAAGAGGAAAAACACAGGGGTAGTTAAGAAAAAGGATCAAGACAAAGGAGAAAAGTGAAAAGGGGCATGGACAGGCTACTAAAACTAACTCACAGGCATTTATACCAGAGCCCCTCTGCACCGTCCTCAACAACCAAAGGCCACGGCCAGCGCCTTATCTTTGGGGTGCTGTTGATGGTGCGAGGGGCTTTGGGAAAGGCTTCCCACGCAGGCCACTCCCCACCCTTCGGGACAGCCTCACAGGCTACAGGTGTGGTTTTCACATGGCTCCGTTTGAGGCTAATAATTAGAACAAGCAGGTACCTTTTCCCTTCAGCCTTCCTTTGAATTGGAGCTGAGGGTTTTACAGTTTGTTTTGAATTTATTTTTGAATTAAAATATTTTTTTTCTTAACCTTTGCCATTAGGGTTTAACATCCTAGCAGTCCAGGTGCTACTTACTGTTCTCGTTCTTAAAACATGAGTTGGAGGGTGGTTTGGTCGTGGGCCGGTGGTGGGGTTGGAAATGGGGATTGGCGGCGGAGGTAGAGGAAGCTTCTGGTAGTACTGTAGTCTCCTGTATCAAGCTACGGTGTCCCTCTCAGGTGGATGAAGTCAGTCTAGTCGCCATGCGTCCCACCTGGGGACTGCCTGTAGCCGCAGGCTACCTACTCAGCCAGCCGCCAGCCAGGCAGAGGGACATTTGGTGAGTCCTGGGCAGAGGCTGCAGCAAGTGGCCTGTCCCTCCCTGAACCTTGGGGTGACTGTGGCCACGATGGCCCTGAGGCAGCTGGCTGCCTCCCAGGCTGCCACCTGCGCCCCCTCCCTAAGAAGAGCAGACAGGCAGACACAGCCCAGGGGCATGGGGTGGACCACTCCAGAGGCCTGCATGCAGGAACAGCAATGCAGAGACTTTGAAAGGCACCTCTGCTGACAGAGTATTTGCTGTGTTGAAACCACCACCCAAAGCCCCCAACCAAATGGCACAGTCCCCACAGATTTTGGCAGCAACAGCAAAGCACTGAGTCCTACCAGTAGAAACAGCTTTGAATTCAACTATGAAGCTAATCAGGATAGGGATCACACAAATTCGATGGGTGTGGCAGTAAGACACACCCACCTGTCTGACGGACCGCCCAAGGGCTTTATCAGCTCTCGGCAACCATGTCAAACCTTTTTCCAAAAGCAAACTTTCCTACCTGCACTCAAGACAGTCTTTAAGTCTCGTGCCTTCGGATCCTGCTGGAAAGCCTGCTTCCAAGGCATCAGGGCCCTGACCGGGTTAATACACAGCAGCTGGAGGGGGCAGGGCCAGCTTGCCTAGTGTTCCTGGGTGGCTGTTAACAAGCTTTCATTCATTGGCAGGATTCTGCAGGTGGGACTGGAGAATGGGGAAACAGTGGGGAACCCAGGCGCAAGAGGCCAGGCTTTGGACTCAGGCCAGGCCAAAGCTTCCCCCACCCCCTGCCCCAAGACCTTCAGGCCCTCTGAGCTGGATGATGGTGTGAGCCTGCAGCCAGCCACTGGCTGGGTCCCTGCGCGAGTGCTTTGCCATTTCTGAGCCTTGGTTTTCTGCACCTGTAGAATGGAAGTAATGATGTCACCTACCTTAGAAGGTTGGCGTTATGTACATAAAACGCCTGGCTATGCTCCTTACCTCAAAAACCTCGAATGCCTCTCAACTGCCTAGGGCCATGGTCGGCAAACTGCGGCTCGAGAGCCACATGTGGCTCTTTGGCCCCTTGGGTGTGGCTTTTCCTAAGCCTTAGGAGTACCCTAATTAAGTTAATAACAATGTATCTACCTATATAGTTTAAAAAATTTGGCTCTCAAAAGAAATTTCAATCGTTGTAATGTTGATATTTGGCTCTGTTGACTAATGAGTTTGCCGACCACTGGCCTAGGGGGTCATCAACTCCAAACACTGGGATTTAAGGGAGAAATTACCCACTGTATCTTATACTCCTCGTAACCCTTCTTCTGATAGACGGGAATTGTTTTCAGAATGACAGAAATAAAGGACAACGATGCACACACGATGGGCTCATGGTCTGCAATGTGTGACCGCAGTGGCCCTCTGATTACACCGGAGAGGCACTGGGCTTTGGCATTGATACTGAATAATAACAGCTGAACGTGGATGCCTGCCACGTGCCTGATGTGTCCTAAGGACGTCAGACGTACTAACTCATTTAATCTGTGGTGTGCCGGTAAACAATTAACAACTGGCTGGGGTTGGGGGTGAAGGGTGGGGTTCTAGGGGGAGTCCTGATGTGTATGTAGCCTTTGCTGATTTCCATGGTGTAAATGCTCTCACTACCGTTGACCTCAAGCTCCCGACCTGCCATTACTGAGTGAGGAGTGGGAAGAGGTACGAACAATTGGCTCTCATGAGGCTGCTGGTTGGAGGAGACCTGAGGTTTATATTAGAGACCCAGCTCCAGTGAGATGACTGGGGCGAGTTACTAGGCGGCTTAGTAAGAACAGAGGGAGGATGCAGAGGGTGGGAAGGGAACTAACACAAGCCCAAGACTCACTGCCTCCTTGGCAGCATCCTTCCTTCAGAAGACGTATTGTGACTGGCTCAGTTCATTACTGCTTCCCTTTGCTGACTAAGGTTAAATTCCAAGCCCCTAATTACAGTGTTTCAGTGGGGCCTTTGCTAGTCCTTTTGGGGAGGAGCTGGAGAGAGGTCCTGCTATGGACTGCACGTGCCCCCACAAAACATACATAGAATCTCCAATGTGATGGTATTAGGAGGCAGAGCCTTTGGGAGGCAATTAGGCCGTGAGGGTGGAGCCCATGATGGGACCCATGTCCTTTTAAGAGGAGAGCTCTCGGCCCTGCAAGGACACAGACACCGTATCTGCTGGTGCCTTGATCTTGGATTTCCCAGCCTCCAAACCTTGAGAAATCAGCATCTGCTGTATAAGCCGGTCTACGCTGTTTTTGGTAAAGCAGCCCAACTCAGATTCCCGCTTGCATGTGCTTCAAGAGGGCTCCTACCTTTTGATAAAACTATCTTACCGGAGTATGTTTTAAAAAGAGAAAAATAGTTTAACTTTGTGCTATTTCCTCTTCTTTTCTGCTACCATCAGCAACTTGAAAACCCAGTTCTTAGCCACTGTCTCAGGCACCTGTGATAGCGCAATTTAAACCAGCACCGGTGAGGGTGAGCCCAGGGGCAGCCTGGGACTGCTCCCCGAGGGGCGCTGAGGCCTGCCTGACCCTGGGGTCAGACATTTGCTCCCTGCCGCCAGCCTGGTTGGAAACCCATCCCCCTGACCCTGGGAGGACACGGGTAGGAGTGTGCAGGTCAGTCCCGCAAAGCCCTCCGGACCACTGGGCAGCGGGCCCCGGATTTCTAGCATCACCATTACATGTAAAAATAGAAAGTACAATCAGAGTTTAAAGGCACCTTGGAAATCATTTCTCATTTTCTTCTAATAAAAAGGACAAGTAAATTGTATTAAGGGCCCAGTTTGTCATTATGGTTCTCTCCTCCCCCTAGACCAGTGGTTCTCACCCAGGGGTGGCTTTGCCCTCCAGGGATGTTTGGCAATGACTGAGTGAGAGACCTTCCTGGCATCTGGTGGGTAGAGGCCAGGGGTACTGCTAAATACCCCACAGTGCACAGGGCAGCCCCACAACAAACAGAGGCCTAGCCCTAATTATCCACAGCACCACAGCTGAGAAACCCTGGTCTATGCATAAAAAGCTTTTCCAAAAACTAAAGACATGGCATTCTTATTCCAAGAAGAAATCATATCCACAAATCATATTTTATTAGCTGTCCAATGCCACCTTCCACTCATGCCCTGTGTTTTAATTAAATGTTATGAACTACCCGTACAAATCAATACAATGCTTTTTTTCCACCACACACACCAACAGCTTGAACGTTCTTGAAGCTTTTAAACAATGACTTGACTGTGGGCAAACAGAAGACAAGGAATCAGAGATAATTAGCTCATGCATCTGGTGCTGGCTATTAAATAAATAATTTTCACATGAATGTAGAAACCACTCAGTGTTAACGGTATTTATTTTTTTTAAATAGTTGGAAACTGTAATAAAATGCAATTTTCAGAAGCGTCTTGGTGACGGAGTAGAACAGCTTCATTTAAAAAAGAATGAAGTTACTCCCCCCTCGACGGGGGTGGGTGAACATGTAGCAAAACCTCCCACCCCAGGAGACTCGGGCAGAGGGAGTGATCTTGCACAAAATACATTTCCCTGCAGCTCTTCTCATGGAAGCCGGCAGCCAGGAAGAGCACCCTGCTTGGGAAAGAGCGTTTGGTTCACACAGTGTACTTTGGTTTATTTAAACAGGTAAGAAAGTAGTCCCCAGTTCTCCCTTGCAAAAAGATGTGTTTCTGACTTTTAAATAAATCAAGATACCGCCAGTCTGAATGAGTTTCCTTTTCTGTTGAGGTTAAAAAAAAAAGGATATTTTTATTTCCCTCCAGTGTTCAGTTGCTCCTCTTCGGAAATACTCTCCAGATCCAGTCTGGTTATGTCTTGGTCCTCAGCAGCCCCACACCACGCCTCCCACGTGCTGAAGGTCTGACGCGGTGCCTGGCAGGCCCAGCACCCGCAGGTCCTCGGATGTGGGTATCCACCTGGTGCTCTGAATGGAAAGTTCTCCTAACACATCTAAAAGTATCTTCTTAAAAAATGCAAAAGTGTACGCTAGCTTGTGCTCTCTTTAGTAAGGCTTGCAAATGGGTCATTAAATAAGCAAAATATAACTCTTAAGCAAAAGAAAAGTGCATTTTTAAATAAACAAATGGAGATGGTTAAAACTACAACCAAAAAGATGAGATTATTTTTGGTTAATTTTGGGGAAAATGGCAACAGTTATTCTTTTTTCTTTTCTTTTTTTAGTCCATTTGGTTTTGCTTAATATACTCACAAGGATCATCATGAGGGTATCTTTGAGTTTACAGTCTCCTCGCCTGCCTTGTTATTTTAGACACAGAGTTCCTAGACCGCGAGAGTCCTACTGATACAATCATTCTGCTGGGGAGAAATGTCTGCCTTTCATTCTAATGAACTTTGTACAAAACTGGTCTTCATTCATGAATATGGCAATGAGCACAGAAAGCAACAGGCCTCCACGCCGCCAAGCGTACAACCTCACAACCATTCTCCTTCGTCAGAAGCTGCAGAGGACCCTTCCTCTGTTGGGGCTACTTCAGGCAAAGTGGGAGATTGAATTCCTGCTGTGTAAAACCGCACAGGCAGAAATTGGAGGCGCGCTCCCTTTGTCGCTTACGAATCAGTCAGCTTCTTTGTTTGCCCTTTATGGACATCGCTTCCTTGTTGCAGCCACTTGTCAGGTTCATTGCAAAAGGAAAAAACAAAAAAACATCTCCCCCAACGTGTCCCTGGGAGTTCATGTTTTTTTGCTGCTTGACTTCTGTTTCTGCTTGCGAAGGTGAGCCTCGATCTCGTGCCGGAAGACCAGCATGCCCAGCTGCCCGTGGGAGGCCTCGTTCATGGCCTTGGACTGCATGCACATCTTGTACTGCTCGGGGGTCAGCTCGTCCACACAGCGCTTCTCGTGCCAGAGGTGGAAGAGGCCCCGCACGGGCGTCCGCACCACTATGAGGTTGCTGTGGAGGTACTTGCGGTACAGGTGTACATCCTCTCCGCCCCAGCCTTTGATGTCCAAGTCAAACCCACCTGTCAGGAGAGAACACACTGCTGAGTCAAGCCGGGCCCGCATCTCCCGCTTCCCTGTACTGTCAAGCACAGAACGGCATGAAGACAAGAAGCCGTTAGGGGAGATGTGTTTTGCCACCCCTCCGAATGATGAGTGTCCATCCGTATCAGAGAACTCAGAATTCTCGAACACAGAGGACCTTTACGAAAGCCAGTACCAACTCCCAGAGGTGACAAGACCGCAAACAGAATCCCAGCATTTGCCCGCCTCCGAGAGCTGCCAGCAGTGCTAATGATGAGCCCAGACTCCAACTGAGAGCTGCAGAAGCGCCCCAACTTCAACCCGAGACCTTCCGATGAAAATCCCCGTGTTTCTGTTTGAATGTGACCTCCTCCTCCTGCCACTTCACATGGAATAAACCAAAGGTGTGCAGTGTGAAGTAGTAAAACAGGATCTCAGTGTGAAAAAAAATCACATCCCACAAAAGCACTCTTCCTTTTGGAGACTAAAGTGGTCCCCAAAAGCTGGTGAAATGACTCATGTTGAAGGGACCAGCCCCAGTCGGTTCTGGGTTTCCACTCCAACAATCTTGTTTCACGTAGGAATGGACAAGGAGAATAGTGGACCCCTACAGTCTCACCCAAGGTTGAGATGCCTAGGTTGTTTCTTAACCTAAAGTCCACGGTGCCTCAAGTCGAACCAAAGAAAAATTGGCCTCTTTTTGTCATTGTTCCTTGTCTCACCTGGGAGATTTCTCCAACTCTTACAAGACATAGTGAGGTGATTCTCAACATCTTTTCTCCGTTATAACAGAGCCCTCTGTCCCCAAACCATGCTGCTCTGATCAAGGCTATTGCTGGATCCCAGAAGGGGACTCCCCATGCACCCATCCCTGGTCCACGTATACGAGGGCTCTGTACTCCCCCCAATACAGGCAGGCAGAGACCATTCTGAGTCAAGGGTCTGGAATCTGAGTCTTGGTTCTCATCCAAGCTCCCACTTTACCTCTCGTGAGCTCTGGTTCCTTTATCCTGAAATGAAGTAGGTGTCATAACCGAACGAGACAGTAATGTAAGGGGCAGTGCTTAGTTAGCTGTAGCTGGTTTATTATTCCCATTGGTATCATTACAACTTATTAAGTAAAACTCATGCGAGCATATGATGCTTGCAAATTAATGCAAGATTGCAAAGAATAATGGGGGACAGATGTAGCCCAAAGATTCATTCTGAGCTCATAGCAACGGCTGACTGAGAAAGAGCACCGGCTCAGCCTGCCATTCTCATGTTTTTCTAGTATATCAATGCCCGGTCTTTAGGGAAAAAATGTATTATTACCCCAAATTTGATAAATATAGATCATCACAAAATACTCTCTCCCTGTATATAGAGCAAGGAAACAGCTTCTTAAAATGGAAATCTCCTTTAGAAATAAAAAAAAAATATGTCATCTTTGGAAATTGATTTGCACAAAATCATTTAGGCTTATTTCTTAAACAAATCAAAGCACACCTGTGGCTCGCTGCTGGTTATCCCGGGCTCCTGCCACTCGGAGACTGGCATCCTGGGTGCTCTGCAGCTGCTTACGGGACCTGACTGCAAGCCTTCTGGGTTTTATTTTTATTTTTAACTGGGGATTCCTGTGAGCATTCTGCAGGCCCTGCAGACCACCTCTACCTCTGACCAAAACTTGGGCTGCTCAGATAGACTCACTGACCTTACAAAGAGAAGCTTTAGGCCTTGGGCGGGAGGCGGGTAGACAGGAGAGAGCAGGGGAGCGGTCTCTGGGAGGCCACAGGGAGGCGGTGGGGTGGGCATCTCCACACCTAGTGAGGACAGGACTTCCAGACTCTGTCCTGCTAGAGCCAGAGCCCAAGATCAAGGTTTCTGACCTGCTCATTCACTCCCAAGTCACACATAATCCACAATGCTACTCCCTTCAGAGGCGCATGAGGTAGAACTGCCGTGGGGAGAGAGTGCGGAATTCCCAAGGGGGACAACAGACACTGTTCTCATCCTGACTGTGTCCTCACTTTGCCTCTGAGAACCTTGGTCTCCTCAACTGCAACCGAAGGGCCTGCCCTGTCTGCTCTGGGAACCTGTGTGTATGTGTGTGTGTACACAGTGACTGTACACTCAGAGCTTCAGGTGACATCCGGAATTTTTGGAGGTACAGCAGTTTTTCCAAAATTTCCTGGTGTATGATTTTCTCAAATTCCCCATGTCACCCTATTTTTTAATGGATTCCCCCTACTGGGGAGGCCCGGGCTGGTCTACATGATGGGGCACAGGAGCCAGACAGGTTGGAAGTCAGCACTAGGGGGACCCCTTGGGAGCTGCCTTTACACATGAGCTGCATTGAATCCGCAGATGGGAGCCTTATTTGGGGTGACTGAGAGGTGCTGGTGGAGATTATAAAGTGCCACACACTCCCAGGCCACCTATTGGTCCAGCTCCAAGCCCATGACAAGAGGAATGAACTTGAGCCACCTTTTCTTAAGAAGTGGCACCTCCTTTGCCACCAGGCTCCTTGGAAGCTGACTGGCCAGGTTCCCTCACAGCCCTCCCCTGGCCTCTAGGTGGCAGTAGAGATGCAGACTTGTTGCCAGTGGATTTGTCTTACCTATGTTGATGAAGTCTGACCGATACTGACATGTCATCCCAAATCCAAAGTCTCTCCAAAATCCAGTTTCCTTCTTTATGACCTGCAGGGAAAGCACCATCATTTGAGAGGGAAGGACAGAGTGGATAACAAGAAACGGAGGTTATTCACATAAGCAATGTTAAATAGAGAGTCCATCCCAGCCCTGATAAACAGCTGCAACCCTGTGGGGGAAACACAGATGGATTTGAGTCCTTCTGGACGGTTAGGAATACAGTCAGCTCACCAGTCCCAAAACAGGGCCTTGTGATTTTTGGCACCTCTGGCTGGAATGTTTCTAGGGTACAAGGCATGGAAACACACACACACACACACACACACACACACACACACACACACTCAAAAACAAACCGGAGAGCAAGTTTTTGAGCGGCGCCATGGAAAAGCCACCTACGTGTCTGGCCCAACACCAGTGCCAGCGAGAATTGGAGGCCTCGGCCCCTCACACAGGGCCGGGCTGGGCTGGGAGCCAGCAAAGGGCTCAGGAAGTTGAGAGAAGGGATAGAGAACAACTCGGGATTCAGCTGCCCTGGCACCGCGCACACACAGGGCTCCCTCGGGCAATGGGAGGAAAACCGAGGCTTCAGCGTGTGACTCCGGCTCCGCTCCTGCTTGTTGAGGAAAAGGGCACGGCGCGTCCAGGTTATGAAGAAGGACTCTGTCCATTCATCTTCACTTTCAAGCCAAACTGCTCCAAAAAGCCTCTGCAAGCCGTTGCCAGGCGGCCGGGCTGCCGAGAGGCCATCCAAGCGGTGACTCTCTTCAAAAAGCCAGACCTGGCCCTGCCCAACCTCTTACTTTGCAAGTAAATTTCCAATGTTCTGGCTGAAGCAGCAAGACGTTGAAGAAGTTGCTTTTATATTTCTGGCTGAGGTAATTCTGGGAATGGTTTGGGGACCTATTTTAATTGTTATTTTTCATGATTCACTTTTGAGTTAAGTCCCCTGGGGGGTGGGTTGAGGGGAGGCTGCACCAGGTCCCCATCCACGCGGACTGTGCCTTTCCCGTCGGGGACGCCTGGCTCTGTTCTCAGCCAATGAGACAGAGTGTGCGTCTTGTCCCATCTTGACCACCGGCTGGCTTCTCTGCCTCGGGTAGGCCCCGCACTTCTTCGAGCCCCTATTTCCTTTCCAATAATTGAGGAGGTTGAGCTAAACCAACCCTAAGGTCTCTTCCAGCTCTAAGATCCAAACATTTGTCCTATTACTACTATTTCACCTCCCGGAAGTTTCCCTTTATCTATGCCACAGGCTCCACGGTACTGGACAGATGGCTTGCAGAAGGGCTGATGAACTTGAAAACTCTTTGACTCCGTGACCTGGGAAACAACCTTATTTTCACTACCACCTCCACGGGGATGCCGCCTGCACTGCTGCCAGCGCGCAGCAGGACTGCCAAGGGAAGCCGAGACCACAAGCGGCTTCGTCGGCTACTGTGATCCCCAGCACGTGCTCTCCAATCCTTCTTCAGAACAGAGGCCTGTAACACAAACCTCCCAAGTGACAAGACAATGTCATTAGTATCAACCGGAAAGGTTTTACAGGGCAGGAAAGTCTAACAAAAGTCTCCACTGAGTCATTTTTAAAACTGGTTTCTGCTTCATCCCTGTTATACCAGGTACGCTGTTCCTGAAGCAGCTACTGGCTTAATATCCTTGTTTTCCCAGGATACAGACAAGTCTTCTAAGCTTCTGGATAAAAGTGGAGTCGAAGAGGAGTGCCAGTATCCAAACTTCAAATACTTGGCTGAGGTCTATATGAGTGCAAATGCGAAAGGTCCAAATGGGGAGAACAACGGACAGGGCTTGGGAAGAAAGACAAAGGGGTGGGGAGTGCAAGAAGCAGCCACGCCAGGGCTGGGGTGAGCGGGCACAGTACCTGGTAAACCTGCTCACAGTGAAGAATGACCCTCAGCTGCAGACAGGGTGACAGAAACAAATGGATGTGTGAGCTGGGAATGAGCTACATAAATACTTATTAACATTGGCTTTAAAGTTGGCAAGCCACGAAAAGCCACTGTCTGAAGAGCTCATTGAATCGTAGCCCTTGGTGGGAACCGATCGTGCCCACAGCATATACTGTCAGGGACAAGATGGAGTGCACTTATTAGCGTTCACTTATTAAGGCTCCACCACCCCAGCTGTGCTGAGCCGCTAACTGGAGTGGTGCCCTGGACCTGCAGCCGAGCCGGGAGTGAGCGCTCTCCAGTGTACATCAGATCACAGCACGCTCCCATTTAAAGCCCTGCCGTGGTTTTAATTGCATGCTCTCTAATGCAATTAGAATGAAATCCATGCGGAAACCTCCAGCCTGCAAAGGCCCCACGGGACCTGGCCCCTGCCTGCCTTGCCCAGCTCACGTGTCCCTTTATTCTGCCTCCTGAATGCGCCAGGATGACAGGTCTCCACAGCTGGATACCTGCAGAGCTCCCTCCCAGGTTCACCCTTTCCCTGCTCACCCCTGGGCTCTGCTCCAATGTCATTGCTCAGAGTCACTCATCCAGGCCCTTCCAGCCACTGTCAACCCTTCCCAGCCATGTCACACTCTACACCATCACCTGGCTGATTTTCTCTATAAACCAGGCTCTCTGAAATCACCCTGTTGTATTTGTTTCTCTTCACCTACCACCTCTGGTGACCACCTCTGGTGAGCGCAAGCTTGGTCTCCAGCACCCAGATCACTGTCTCCCACATAGCAAAACTCAATAAATACGTTAAGTCATCAGTTAACATCATTGATGGGTTCTGTGACTTCAAGCCAAATTATGTATATCAAAACCAATTTTACCATATACTAATTGCTCAGGCATCTCATTAATATTTATAATGAACCAACCCTGAACAAAAAGAAGTTATCTGAGGATCTGCTATACTTCTCCAATGAATGAATGAGGAGCAGAGACAACATCAAGCCAGTGGAAATATACATGGTCCAAGCCCAGAATCTTGTCAGGGAGTGGACCAGCGAAGGCCTAGAAATTCCAGTGGGAAAACCCTCAGAATTGTGTCACTCTGGACCAACAGACAAAAACATTTCACCTTCCTGGGGTCTAAGCAGAGGGCTTAACTTCTTAGCACCTTTGCCCGAGGCATAAGGAGCGCCACTGTTCTGGTCAAGCGTTGAACAGATACACACCAGTGATGTCTAGAGCAGGGGTCCTCAAACTACGGCCCGCAGGCCACATGCAAATACAAATATTGTATTTGTTCCTGTTTTGTTTTTTTACTTCAAAATAAGATATGTGCAGTGTGCATAGGAATTTGTTCATAGTTTTTTTTTAAACTATAGTCCGGCCCTCCAACGGTCTGAGGGACAGTGAACTGGCCCCCTGTTTAAAAAGTTTGAGGACCCCTGGTCTAGAGGAAGAAGAAGCCCTAAGATAGAGATTAGACTTTAAAAGAGAAACATCTCCTCCTTCTGTCCTGAATTTCCCCACCTGTTTTCAAGTGCTATCCTTACTTTTAACAATTTCTATCCAGGGCCGGCCTCCTCTTAGCTCTCTGAACCACCTTTCTCTCCCACCTAGGATCCCATCGGAGCACCTCAGGGCAGGAACACACCAGAAAAGACAGTTCGAGACCACAGGAAGTTGCCAGACCTTCCACTCTGTAGGTGATTCATATGATCGGGGTGATTATTTTCTATTAGGACCAAAACACAAGGCATAAATCAGCACCTCCCTCCAAAGACAGGCTGCAGGTGCAGGTGCAGGTGCACAGGGGGCTGGGGCGGCAGGCAGCGCCTGTCTACTTTCATGGCACTGACTTGGACAACTGCCCATGACGCAATCTGGGCCCTAAAATAAAATAAGTAACATATACTCAGGTGGCGTATTTCCTCTAAAGACAAGAGAGTCTCTGGAGACCTGAGGTTGTGTCTGAGCAGCCACACGTTCACCAGAAACACTGAATGGTGTTCATTAACCTAATTTCTGCCCTCACTGCAGGCAGGCAGGCAGGCAGGCAGGCAGGCAGGCAGTGTGGGGTCCACAGGCCCCACATGAGGAGGCTTCAGGCCTGGTTTAATGCCCTGCTGTTGCCATCTTGAAATTCTTAATGAGTTTTGAACAAGGGCCCTGTGCTTTCATTGTGCACTGGGCCATGCAGGGTGAGTAGCCAGCCCTGTCCATGAGCAGCAGACACCTTGAACTTCAGGGTCCTCTATGGCTCGGTTGGGTGCCTCCTGCCCCCACACTGTGCAGTCCCCATTCTCTGGTACCGAAGGCTGATGAGCACACTGTGAAATATTCCAAGGGCCCGCATGTGGTATGCATGTGCCCGAGGGCTGGGCGAGCACCCTGTGCAGGATTCCAGGGGCTGCATACGGTACCCATGTGCCCATGGTAAGGCACGGTGCCGTGACAGTTTCTATTTCTTGAAAGATAAAGTATATTCTGGCGCCAAAGCTTTCAAAGAATTGGCTTAAGAACAGATTCAAATGCCTCCCCCTTCTAGATTTGTACTAACCCACACTTTCAACAAGACATCTTTTATCAGTCTCTGCATTAAACACATGAGTGTCTTCTGAAGGGTAGCAAGCTAGACAAGGAATGGTCCAGGTTTCCTCTGTTTGGGGAGCTGTAACCAAAGGTTAGACTCTGTGCTCTCCTGGAAGCACACTAAGGCCAAAGAATAAGTCCCCTTGGCATCCTCAGCCCTGTCTCCATCACACAGGTGGCAGGAGAGCAGTCTGGGCAAGTGACTTCTGCCTCTGAGTTTCAAGGTTCTCGTCTGTGAACTGAGCATAACGATGTCTCTTCGCATGCAGTACCACTGAGCACGACAGGAGATGACGCGGGCACAGTGCGGGCTTACACCCCTGCATGGACTGCTCTGTTCATGTTACTCTTGCTGCTCTGTGAGTATCTGCTCCCCAGATAAATAAAAACAGACTATGTCTGGTCAGCAATCCTTAGGAATTTAAACTGAAATGCCGTGTAGTGGTAAATACTTTTGGAGGCGGGTAGAGAGGTAAGGGTTTAATCAGAGAGAGGGTGAGGATATACCATGACACAACGAACAGAGTGGCACAGTCATCAGATTTAAATGATGGGTGGGCCGCATGGCAGACTCTGATGTCGGGTACTATGGACAGTAGAAAAGGTGAGGAGATGGCCCTGAGCTGGAAGGAGATGAGGACACTGAGCAGGGTGCTCACCTGGCAGAGCGGCTGGCTTGGGTGTCTATCAAGCTGGTACCCTGTGCCAGGTACTGGGGTTTGCAAACATTTTCTCCGTAATCAGTTTTAGAGTCAGTTTGTAGAGGAAAGTTAATCCCAACAAGGAATCGGGGCTACGCTAGAGCAGCCAGGGTTGTGCAAGTTTCTTCCCAACTCTGTGTTGAGTGACATCACATCGGTTGCCTGGAATAGGCCTCGGTGGGAAATTGACACCACGGGAAATGGCCAACGCTATGAGTCTGGGCTCCCCCTGCCCCCTTTCAGAGAGTGGGTTGTTCAACATTTACTAGTACACCACTGGCTTTATGCCATGAAAAAAAATTTTTTAATGGAATTAATCTTCATTTTGAAAATGTATATCTGGCAGAGGATGAAGGAAAGACTGAGTACAGAAGAGGGAAGGAGTCTAAAGACAGAAGTGGTAAGAGGCTCCCGCCATGGCCCCAGCAAGAACTAACAAAGCTTGAGCCAGGAAAGTGAAATGTTAATAATTACTGAAATTACAGCCATTCCTTCCTCAAAGAACTGTTTCTACATTAAAGCATCAGCAAGTTTCATCTCAGGTGTAAAACTCAAGAAATTAAATATTCGTATAAAATCCCATGATTTCACTTACTACTTATTACTAACGGTCTGTATTCAAACGTAGAGAAACAAGTAGTCTAAACACACATGCAGATACCCTAAGTTTGGTTTCTTGCTTGCATCTGCAGACAACATGTTATCAAATGACAGTGGCAATACTGGTAGCCAGGAGAAGTAATGACCAGAACCTTGGCGATGAGGTCATATCTGCAGGGCTGCTGGAAAAGCTGCCTTTTGTTGGCAAGAATAAATAACTTTTGTTACAGTGACATTCGGGATCTACGTTCTCCCTTTGGACACTGATGTATTCCAGGAAGGCTATCAAGAATGCATTAATATATATGCATTATATACTTCTAGACCGAGTCAAAATGAACCCTTGGTAGGAAATCTTTCCTAATTTATCCCTCTCTTATCATTCCTTTTTTAAAATCCTCACCCAAGGATATTTTCCCCTTGATTTTTAGAGAGAATGAAAGGGAGAGGGAGAGACAGAGGGAAACATCAATGTGAGAGAGACACATCGATTGGTTGCCTTCCCACATGTGCCCTCACGTGGCCGGGGATCAAGCCTGCAACTGAGGTACATGCCCCTGATGGGAATCGAACCTGGGACCCTCAGTCCCAGGGCTGACGCTCTATCCACTGAGCCAACCTGGCTAGGGCTTATCATTCCTTTTTATTTTATAACTCCTTAGCTCCCACACATTCCATCTCTATGTTAATGTCTGTAGTTTGATGTTCTCCTTTGGGATGTTTGTCAGGTCATTCCCTTTATATTTCAGCTCTCATCTAGACCCTAAGTCAGTGATGGCGAACCTATGACACGCGTGTCAGAGGTGACACACGAACTCATTTTTTTTGGTTGATTTTTCTGTTAAATGGCATTTAAATATATAAAATAAATATCAAAAATATAAGTCTTTGTTTTACTATGGTTGCAAATATCAAAAAATTTCTATATGTGACACAGCACCAGAGTTAAGTTAGGGTTTTTAAAAATGCTGACACACCGAGCTCAAAAGGTTCGCCATCACTGCCCTAAGTGAATCAATTCCCCCTGCACTACAGTAAGAAAATCCTAGTTTGGGCCTGTGCTCGGCTACCAGCTGTCTGTGTGATCTTCAGTAAGTCTAGAGACAAGGAGGGAGTAGTTGAAATTATCTCGCAATCACTTCTGAGTAGTTGAAATTATCTCACAATCACTTCTGAATACACAAAACTGTTTCAGTTCTCTGCCTCCAGCAAGTGCTCAAAAAATGGCTCACCCAGTAAAGAACAAAATCAATACTTTTCTTTTTTGGATGGAGACCCCTGCATCTCACAGACAGCTGCTGTGTTTCTCTGGACTAAACAGTCACAAATACTGGACCCCGAAAGAGCAAACTTATGTGGTCGAGGGAATGTTAAAGGTTGCAGGGTAACTTAGAGGTTCCAGCTGTGGACACGGCAATCTGGCTTGACCACTAATTCTGAGAATCTGAGGAACTGGCTTCCCCTTACACCTGCTTCCCTGCAGGAATGGTAATAACAGGATAAACCTTTTAACCTGTAAAATGACAAGAATTCCTTGCAAGCAAATAAGGTCTTTAGGAGTTTAAAGTAAAAACCTTAACCTCATTTGATGTCAAATGTAATGCGGTACTTTATTTAAAATCGAAGGAACTTTTATTCGGATTGGTTGAAGGAAAATAAATCCTGTTTCCCACTTCCCCCTCAAGCCCTATTAGAAGCTCAGAACTCTTACAGAATGGAAATAAGAAGCTTTTCTGTCTCAATGAGGGTGGATAAAAATTGGTTTTGGGGGAGTGAAACCTCTTACCGTGTTTATGTACAAAGCACATATGTACATATGGTACATAAACAAACATTCACCATATCCAGGGTATTAGAATTTCATTGGGGGAAGGGAAAACTGAATTATTACTGTCCTGTGTGGCTTGTGTCCCAAGTGGAACCGTGCTAGGACATGACCTTGTCCAACCTGAAAGAACCTGAGCTGACTTTTTTAAATTGGAGCAGGGCACAGGATACGGCTGGAGAAAACAGGTTTTGCTACTTCTGGCAGCTTGAACACAGAATCCATCCTACAAAAGAATTTCATAAAACATGTATTTTTGCCCTAGCTGGTCTGGCTCAGTGGATCGAGCATTGGCCTGCGTACTGAAGGGTCCTGAGTTTGATTCTAGTCAAGGGCGCATGACTGGGTTGCAGGCTCAATCCCCAGCAGGGGCTGTGCAGGAGGCAGCCAATCAGTGATTCTCTCTCATCATTGATGTTTCTCTCTTTCTCTCCCTCTCCCTTCCACTCCGAAATCAATAAAAATATAGTTTTTAAAAACAACAACATGTATTTTCCATGAAAATCGATTTCCTCTCCCATTGCACAGAAGCATGTCCATTCTCACACAGCAGATTTCCTTCCCAGCCTATGAGGAGCTCAGTGGGAGGAAACATGGCTTTGCCTCAAACAGGAGACAGAGCTAACCAAGGCAACGAACAGACGGCCCCCAGGTCAGATGCTCCCGAGACCCAGCCTGAGCCAGAACACCGCCTTGACACGCCCAGCTGATCTCTGCAGGAAGAGATCACAGCCCAACTTGACAAGAACGGGAAATTGATTCTCCGCGGGGCAGGCCTCTTTGTGGCACAGAGACCCTCTTCTGGCTTGTCTCGTCTTCCTGTTGCTGCCCTGCTTCTCTGCTAAGTGGACTGACTCCACCACCAACGGAGACAACTCAGCTACAGAGATCCTTGGTGGCTTTGTGGCTCCACCTCCATCGCCTGTGCAGCTAAGATCATAGCAGAGAAGCCACCCTGCCTGTGACACTGCTGATGCTAATGTCCACCCCAAGTCACCGTGATATGTGGGAATGAGAGCATGATGGGAGGGGGCTGGATCTAGTCCCTGCTTCCCCACTGACTCACTCACTGTGTACTGGGGTGAGCCACCCCTTTCTGACTTCCGGTTTCCATCTGCCAAATGGGAACACAATCTTACCTTTCTTACCTTGCAGGTTTGTTTAATAATAAAGAGAAAATGTGCTGCATCCATAATGCAACAACACTAGTTTCCAAAAACCATAGAAGAAAACTAGGAAGGTGTGAAATTACCTTTCTGTAAGGTACTGTTCCTATTTATTTTCCACTTTTAAATATTGCAAGCACTTTTAATCAACAAGGCACTGGGAGCAAAGGCCAGAACGTCTGCCAAACTTTAAAATGAATACAGGACTCAATCCGCAGATTTCTACTCACCTGAACTCGTGGTCAGGTGCCCTAGTAATGAAAGACATGAAACAGAGTCCCACAGAGGCACCTGCGAGTCATTACTCACCAGCTGCTGTTCTAAGGGAGGGACAGCATCGTGATGGCCGTAGATGATGCCAGGATTGTACTGGCTGAAAAGGACTGGATAAAATACTTTCTTCCCTGCAGACCAGAAAGAAAACATTCGCTGAAAGCAACAGACGAAACTATTAGGTTTGTTCATCTATATTCAACCCACTGAAACATCCCAGATATGTGCATCCACTTTTCCTTTTCCCTTCACTCAAGTCTAACACAGATCTTAGAAGTTCTGCACCAGGTAGACCAGATGAATAGACTCTCAAATATTTCTAGCCTCTTAGCCCAGGAGTGATATTCAAAATAGTGATATCAACCAATGAGAGTGGGTGTGAAAGACAGTCCTAATGCCCTCTGCCCTGCCAGACATTAACCCTTTAATTGCTGGCTTGTGGGGAAGTCTGAAGGGTTGCCAGAGGCTGGGGTGACTTTGTGCAGCAGGCATAGACATGGGGAGCCTAGGGCAGTTACTCTTTATCAACTTATCTGAAGAGTTTCAATATTTTAACAACTGGCATGCCCATTCCAGTAGTTATCAGCTGAATACCAGTTGTGCCTATAAGTCAAACTCCATGAAAATAATTTTTATATTGTGAGTTATTTCTGCTCAGCTTACTTCTTCCCTTGGTAACTACCCACAGCTACGCCTTCCCTTTGGTTTCAGGAAGTTTCTCCAGGTCATGTCCTCATTTTCTCCTGTGAATGTTCATGAAAGTCGACGTCCCAGGTGAAAATGGAAAAGAGGTTATAAAAATTAGCTTGGGACAAGGAGTCCCAGAATTATGGTGGCTGACAAGCCCACACTGTGGCACCAAAGGAGAAATCCAATCTTTCCTTTGTCACTGGGGGGAAATAAGGCTGATTCAGAAGCAGGACAGCAGAGTGAATTATGAAGAGAATGATGCCTGAGTGTCGGAGCCAAATGCCACCTGAGGGAGAGAAAGAGAAGAGCGGACTCCATACACCCTTACCTGGCTGTGTGTTCAGCCTGCACGTATTGAGGAACTCAGAGGTGAAGTGGATGTCAACGTCACAGAAAAAGAGAAGGACGTTGCTTCCCTTCCAGAAGCGGGCTCCTACATCAAGTCCCTTTCCCCGGGAAAATTCTCCATTCAGTTGGATGAAGGTAAAGTTCCTGAAGTTGGCAGCTCTAAAAGGGAAGAAGACACAGTCCCTCAGGTTTCCCAGGTCAACAGAGTCCCCTGGAAAATACACGACCAAGGGCCATCCACATCCGGACATGTTTCTTTTGTAACCCTGAGGGCAATGAGACTACCAGGCAGTTACAGGATGACCCAGACTCTTCAGAAATACATTGGCATTAAAGGTACCAAGAACAAACACCTAGCAAAGTTTTAACACCAGTTTATTTCTTGCTTCTCAGTAATTTTCCCAAATTGAAAACTGTACTGTCATGATTAATGAATATTTTTTTGTGTGTGATGGAGAAAACTTGAACCAGTGAGCCAATGAAACCCAGGAAAATCTCCATACCTTCTGAGCCAATGAAACCACTGGGCCAAGGAAATGAAATCCCATTGGAATGGCTCCACCTCGCAACCTTTCATCTGTATTCAACTCCAGGAGCCAGACCTGATAGTCTTGATATATGCTTATCCCCAAACAGATCTAAACCTGGGTTCCTTCCCCACGCTCAGGAAATGCAGAAGAGCGAGACAAGGAAAATGACAGACTTAGGTTCAGAAGACCAGAACTGCCTCAGACCTGGCTCTCCATAGATTAACTCTGTGATCTAGGCATTAACCTCCCAGAACCTCAGTTGCCTCATCTGCTAAATAGGAATAATAACACCTTCCTTAACCGTCTCACAAAGTTATTAGTTAGGTAAACACAGCCAAGAGTAGAAAGCACTATGTAAGCATCAGCTACTGCTGTCGCTGGCACAGGCGAGGATTCCCAGGCCCAGGGCAGTGAAGCCAAGACGTTTCTTCCTGCGGCTGTTCTTTCCCAGGCACAGCAGTACCTTCTGAAATAGGACATATCTCCGCACAAGTTCCAGGAATTCATTCAGTACCTAGTGGGATGGAGACTGTCTTCTACCAGGAAGAACTAGAGAACCACTTATAATCCTATTCTAGCTCCTAATTCCACCTTCACAGATGCCTGGAACTTGGCAAATCCCCCTATTCCTGCTGACATCACCCTTCTTTTCACATCTGAGTCCTCACTGTACCTGGCCTATCCCTATCCCTCAACTTCTCTCTAATCCTGATGTAGTGAAAACACGTTCAAAAACCTATTTCCATTTTTAAAAGTATGTCTTCCACTTGGGTAAGGGTCAACATAAATAGAGAGTCATAAACTTTTCAAATGCTAAGTTGTACTGATATCTTGTAATTTAATCAGTGGAACAAGTTCTGCTACCCCTTCCTAGACTTCTCATCTTCTTTCAGATCTGGGAGTGAGCTTGGGTTTTTATCTTGGGAATCTGTGGGCCCAACCTGTCTGAGTCCGATGCCAGACATGCTTTTCAGATTTAGATCAAGGCAGGAGGCCTGGTAATGGGAAGGGCACTGGCGGACGACTCAGGAAACCTGGATCCAAGACCTAGAACTGCGCCCCCATGAGTGCAGATGTTTGCAAACATGTAAATAGATGAATTATTCTAATGCTAGCTCTGCCTCTAATGTATCAGGGGCAAATAGCTTCATTTCACTGGCCTCGGTCTCCTCACTGCACCAAGGCCCTTTCACTCTAAAATTCTATTTCTGTACATTCTGCATCCTGTTCAGCACTGCTCCACATTTAGAGGCACTCTCCTCTCCTTCAGGACTTGACCTTCACTCTTCTCCAGCCGGGGGCCGAGTTCATCTTTCCTGTGAGTAGAACTATGGTTGTGCTCCACAGCCTCTTCAGTCCTCGATTGGCCCTAGTGAAGGATAGGTACCTCCCTGTCTCCCAAACTGTTAGGTGCAGTCATCTTTGTCTCCCTGAGGGTTTCCAAAGCCCAGCTCCTATAAGTCAGGCTCAACTCACTTCTCCTGCCCTATTTGCTCAGTTTTCTGGAAAGTGTTACCCTTGGGCATTGCCTGGTCTTTTGCCTGTTCATCTAAGGGAGTCTCCAGGTCTCCCATGACTCATCTGCCATCCTGAGACCCATCTTTCTCTCAACACCAGGAGCAGGTCTCTTGCTTTTCTTGTCTCAAGGTTCCTGCTCTTTGAGACACTCCCTGACTGCGGGGTGAGCTGTAGCTACTTTGCAGGGCAGAGAGGACTGACATGCCCAAACACAGGGAAGCGGCAAGGCTGTCCTCACTCAGGTTGTATCTGACTCATAATTCAGGGTCCTCCTCCAAGAGGTCTTCCAGTATCTATCATTCAAGAGCTCAAATATAAAAATGCTTTATATTTAAACAACAGCAAGCAAGGTTTGCCAAGGGAGAGGAATACAGTTTCCTAACACTGTGTGTTAAAGGAGCTGCCAGTTTCTCTCCTTAACAGCCTTACAGTCCATTTGTATAGATAGAGCAAACATTTACAAACGTCATGTTGAATACTTAAATAAGAACACAAGGCAGCATCAGAAACTGAGGTAACACCATTAGGGGTAGGACAAGCCTGGAGATGATCAACCTTTGAGTGCATGCTGAGTGCTACACATTTAGAGAGGAGAGTGGTCATTATGTATATAGACTCACCCAATACACAAGTTAATCTAGGTTGTTCTTTCCAAAAATTCTCCAAACCCTGGCTTGGGCTGCTCTTCCCTGCTCTGCTGCAGCAGGGGGTGGGGAGGGGAATGGGCTTGCCAGTCAATCAAAGTCCCTGGGAAAAGGGGTAAGGAGAACATTGTTCCCAGTGTTTGAGATGACCTTAATTTGGAAGAACTTTTTTTAAAAAAAAATCCCAATCTCTTTCCTCTATTCAATCTCCTTCCTTTCTCTTCATCCAATCTCTTTACAGGATGAGATAATCCATGTTCAGTATGCCTGCAGGCCATACAGAAAGCCCCAGGACACAGTGCCCATCCCTGTCCAATCACTGCCCACACAGAAACCAGTGCCCATCCCTGTCCAATCACTGCCCACACAGAAACCTCTCACCCCACGGGGCCAGTGCCCATCTGGCACCAGCAGCCTCTACTTCCCTCCAAACCCACTCCTTCCTCTATGCACAACCCTGCCTGGCCCAGCTTTGCTTGGCCTCCTCATCCACCCTGACCAATGCTGACCAGCAAGAGACATGCATCATTACTGTGGGCCTGGTGGCACACACATGTGATGTCCTTATGTTGAAGGCCTAACTAGGGAGCTGGACATCAGTGCACACAGAGGCAGGGTGGGGACAGAGTCATCGATGGCCTGGGTAGCACATCCGCTGTCATGGGCACTGGAGAAGGCCCAGGGCTAACTTTAAGTTGTCATCCACCTGTGGTTCCCAGAGTGGTTGCCAGGTCACCATGCTCAGCTCGGAGTCCATCTGCAGATGGATAATGGTACTATCCTTCCTCCTAATCACTCAACCCCGGCACTTCTTATAATTAACCATTATCTGGGGAACCGCTCCTTCTCCTCTCCTGCCATTGGGAAGGAGCTCTGGTCATTAACAAGTGTCCTCTACAAAGGAAGAGGGCTGAGCTGGAAACACCAGAAAAAGAAGAACCTGGAAGTGGGACGCCCTCCTCTCATCTCAAGCTCATCGGCACCAGCACCAGAACACAGGATGCAACAGGACAAAGAGAAACCAGCTTCTGCAAGACAGTCAGGCCTCTTCCCTCAACACATCCCCTATTTTCACTCAGACACTGCTCTTTGGGCAGAAGATGCGCATACTAGCACCCCTTGCTCAACAGTATTTGAAACAGTGTATATTAAGAGGCAGCCAAGCCATGAAAAGCAAGGACATTCCAATGCAGAGCATTGATTTGCCCCAATGTGGTCTGGCAGCTGTGGGTTTAAAAATGTGCACAACATGGCCACAAAGTTGCAATCCCAAATGCAGACCATCAAGGTGCACAGACAGGGACCCTGTTTTGTCCTCCGTCTGTCCCCCCTGCCCCACAGTGACCAGCCAGAAGATGGCCGCTGATGGCATGGACATGGTTGGGGCCTCCTGCCTCTGCTCGGTGGTCCCTCCTGGGATATGTTTCCTCCATCCATTCCAGTGAAAGTCTCACTTAATCTTCATGGCCCATGTCAAGCGTCACTGCCTCTCTCATGCTCTGCTGCAAACTAAAGCCCCTCTCTGGGCTCCCAGGTGTTTCACCCAGTCCTGCCTCTGTCCTCCTGTGCCCAGTGCCTCCTTGTGCCTTTGCTTTGTGTAGACACGCACAAGATGACCTCGCAGGCTCTAAACCTCGGAGGCCAGGGATGCCTTACTTTATGTTTCTATCTTCAGAGGTGATCTGACACCATGCAGGAAGTGGTAGTCACAGGGACACAGTAGATGACCAATAAACACTAGATTAATCAAGAGCCAAATCAATGGGCAACACTGAGGCGCATCTCAAATCTGTTATTGTGGGAAGGCGCTGCCCCAAAATGCCACCTTCTTCCCTCAGGTGGGCACTGGAGAAGCCCCTGCACATCAGTCCATTTCCCACATCAGAAAGAGTCTTGACCAACAGATTCCAAAAAAACAGACACAAACCTAAGTAGATAAATAACAGAACAAAAGAGAGCTGAGGAAAATAAGATGCAATCTGGTCTGAAATATTTAATTCACCCATGCAAAGAAATGTAATATTTTGCGGCTCGTCTCATGAGGCATGGACATTTTTCATGGTAGAACGAGAGCATTACATTCTATACTTGGTGATTTCCTATTATGCATCAGAGTCTGCAGTTTCAAAAGGGCACATGATTACTCATAATTATTTCTTCTTTTCTTCTTGACTTGTATTATTGGCTGATGAACTCTTGAGTTTCTCATTGAATTCCTTTCTTTTATATAATAAGTCTGGCATATGGCGACTCCTCCAAGTTATACATAATCATTCTGATAGAGGTTATAATGACCTGAGAAAGCTAGGGTTTCTGCTGGAGATTTAATTTCTCTAATTGACTTGCATTTCCCAGAACTGCTGGATTAAAAAATGATGGAAGATCTTGCTGTCTAATATGATTTACTCTAATACATACTTCTTCCCACCACTGCAAGGAAATTCTCTTAACGTGACACTTCCCACAA